TAAATGAATTGAATTCTTGCCATAATATTTAAGCAATCAATCAATATTTATAGTTTATTGAATAAATAGATATTTGAATAGTATTTAGGATGGAAAAAAACAAGTATTATAAAATCTAATCAAACAAAAAAAAAAGCCATTGTTAGTAAAATCTATCAAGAATAATGATGTGAAAGACAATCAATCTATATCTATTGAAAATAAATTAATTGAATAAAATATGATTGGGAGGATAGATATAGTTCTTTCCTTAATACACTCTAATTATGATCAAATGCTTACATATTGTTTTGAGAAATAATTTGCTATTTAGTCGAAGCATCGACACTCATTCTTTTAGATACTTGTTTATAGCGTTAAGAAAATCAAAATAAAATACTATGAAAATCTATGTGATCTATAAAATCATTGAATCCTATCACATAAAAAATAATAGTAGATATCTCTGAAGAGTTTGATACCTTCTTTTTTGCAAGGCAAATCAAATATTTTGTTTTGTTATCAGTGTTTCAAAACATAAAATTGCATTATTTTCCAAGCATTTTGAAACATCCGATAGAATGTATTACGAGAGCACGTGAAGATCTTGTACACTAAGACAATACCTTATACTGACATCTTCTTAATATTTCAGAAAGAGATTTCGATGAATCTACATCATATCGGACAATCGTTGTTGTACCTCTTGCAACACATCATTTTTCTTAATCGTTCAAATTATTTCAGCAATCGAGATTTATTTTTCTGGATACATTGAAAATCTTTCCTCTAAAACAGATGAAGAGATTTTGAATTATTTAATAATTGAGTTGTATCATGAATTTCTCAATTACACAAAGAAAAGAGTATGAAATCTGATAACGATACATTGGCAAGTATTTATGATGTATTCATTATTAATTGTTTATGTTTGAGAAAAAGAAATATTACTCTATTTCTACAGTATCGTGATCTTCGATAGATGAAAAATTGAATAATTTTAAATGATTTGGGTGTAGTATCTGTTAGACAACCAGACCCATACCAACACTCGTTTGACTGAAATGCATACGACAAAAATATGTAAATATTGTTTTATAAAAATAAAACGAATTCCATTGAAACTAAAGTATCATATTCAGAAGTCTCTTTTCCATGAAACACACTTCTAAACATGAATAAAAACAATCTAGTCATTAAAATACTTCCTCTTCTATAATAATATCTTAATTAATTTGAATTATATTATTCAAGAATAATGAAAAAAAAAAGTCTTTCAAATCAGGAATTTTATAATATAAGCGTCAATTGAATTCGTTTCTCTGTTTTAGTTCGACCTGAATATTGAGCAAACTATCAATATCAAATTTCGATTAGATAATGGATGAAATTATGATAAACGTTTGAATTGATTAGTACGGATATCAGTTTGTCTGTCATTTTTAACTAACACTCACACCTCCGATTGAATTGATATCGTTGAAGAGAAGACTATAGATAACTGTTTAGAAAATCAAAAATATCTATATATGAGAAGTAGTCAAAAAATATATTGACTAGCACTTTTTCCAGAAGAATTCTCAACATTTGACTTGACATGTGTAGGTACTTTTAACGAGGAAACTCAGATGCACATTCGAAAACATTTACTAGTCAAAGTTTTTCTGTGGACGATGGTGTTTAGAGATAGATCAAAGATCTATCCATGCTAAAAGTTTGATTTCATTTGATAATGCTATCACGAATGGTAACGAATTCATTCAAAAAGTCTCTTGTCATCATATCCATAAAAAGAAGCTGATATATCTACGGATCTCTGTACGTTGAAATAAATCATTTCATAGGAAGTTTTCGCCAAGACAATGGATTTGATAGCCACGAGATCTGTTTCTCGAAAACTTATTTACAACAAATGTTATTACTAAAGCATTGCGGCAACACCCTCAATAGAGTTTTCTAAACGTTGTTCTTAGTTTCAAAGTTAATGCATAAAATTTTTATTTAACTAGTTTCTTAGCAACTCAATATAACTTTCGAATAGTCCAAACTTCAGTTTATCGAAAAAAACAAATTGAATTGTTTCTTTACAGTTAGAGCAAATTGCTGATTCTTTTACCGACAATAGAGACATATTCATACTTTAAATGTGTACGGACAAGATTAGAAAGACTCTTTATTAATTACCACTAGAGTTCTCAACAAAAAGTTTAATTAATCAAACGAATTTCTAGAGGACAGAAGAATTAATTTCCATCTAGTCACAATGTGAAGCATTGTTGAAAGTTCTATTCTCAGAATAACTATCAATAATTTGTTGATCATTCCTTGACAATTTTGAAATTTCTATCTGTCAGTCTTATGAAAAAAAAAAAGATTAGCAAATGGAAAGCAGAAGAAAGAATTATTTTCAACAAGATGATTGTTCTTGCGTAATTTCTTCAGCTTACTTATATAACACATTTTTTGTTAAGTATTGCGAAACAAAAAAAAACGACGCTGCGAGTAGGATTTGAACCTACGCGGGGAGACCCCATCAGATTTCAAGTCTGACGCCTTAACCACTCGGCCATCGCAGCTCGTTCGAAATAGCAATTCACACTATTGACAACGAAAAACTTCTTGAAAATTCTAGTCACACATATTCCAAAGGTGGATTGAAGCTATCGAAGAAGCAAAAAGAAAACTAGGATGTGGGTGTGCGTGTGGGTACAGAGCGTCGTTACAACACCCACACCCTTCGTATGATGTTCCATCTTGGGATGGAACGGGATTGGTCCCGAGTCCCTTCAGTCTCTAGATTCGTCTGATCACTATGAATAGAACGATGGTTTTAGAAAAGAAACTGAGCGATTGAGGGCACCTCCTTTCCCCCGTTTCTTAAGAACGGCTCGACTAAACAAAAGTTGTTAGAGACTCAGAAATCCCAGATGCTTCCTACTATGCGATATAGGGAGTGCAAGAGCCAAAAATGACCTGAAATTTTTCCCCTTTTTCTCAAAGACACTTCGACCGATTGAGCCAAAACTTTTTGTATGATAACTAGGACCAAATCGTGGTGTATGTTTTTTTTTCTTTGAAAAATATTGTGTCCTTCGCTTGAAAGAACCAAAATACTGGAAGTCCTATCAAAAACATGTTTTTTTTGCCGAGGGCAAATTTGGTAAGGTCTGCTAAGAGTGACCAAAACATTATTTCAAGAAAAAAAACACGTACACCCCGATTTGATCCTAGTTGTTACACAAAAAATTTCAGCTCAATCGGCCGAAGCGTCTAGGAGAAAAGAGGGGAGAAAAACTTCAATTTGCCTCTAAAAAAATTGATTTCGAGAAAGACACGAAACAACGTAATATGATATTTTTCCAAATTTTGTGTTTTTCATTTTATCATACATAGCTATCAATTAATGCACTTGCCAAATGACTAGGATGATGCATCCCTGACTCATACAACACATTTTGATGATGAAATAACTATAGTAGTAGTGCTCATTTACTAGAAGAAAGCGCTGCAGAATGTGATTTTTTTGTATAGGGGATCTCCAAAGTCGATTTTTGTAAGGACTTGAATAACAACGAAAATTTTTCATTCATATGCCATTCGATAGAGGGTACTTAAATGTGTTTTTAGATACAAAAAAATCGAAATCGAAAAAAGTGAATTTATGGGATCGAGAAAGGGAAGTGCCCTTAAGCTATGTGATGTTGGTGCAACGCCATTGCACATTCGATGAATCTCTTTTAGAATTGTTGAATGTCATCAGCAGAAATCCAGTGTTTCACATACATTTCACCAGTTATGAAAGTTCGATTAGATAACATGTCGACTAAGTATGATTTTTCCTCCTTGTGATAAAAAAATCTCTTGAACAATTATTTGTTGCTCCATCACATCTTCCAAGTAGATCAAGTGATGAAACAACACGTTATTCTATAATATATAAACGAGCAATATTACCGTTTAAACCTAATAAAAATAATATGATGGATATATATCAAGTAATTTTCAAATGTATCGACATGATATATCAAATATATATTCGTTAAATCCATTTGTAACATGGTTACCAACAAAATGTACATCTGTATTTGATAGTCCATCATGTTCATCTCTTTCTTGTTCATTGACATGTGCTCGAAATGAACTTCTTCTTTTTGATGGTATAGCAAAAAAAAAGAACTTTACAAAAAATTCTATCTGAAAATGATAATCGGTATCAATCGATATCAGGCACACTTATTTCTATTACAATCTCAAATATTTCTCTTTAGAATTTATTTATTATTGAATTTTTAGATAAAAATAATAAGCGTTGGGAAATTTAAAATTAATAATCCTTATGAAAGTCATCATGCTGAAGGTATGAAAAAACAAACAAATAAACAAAATTTAATGAAATCGTTTTAATTTTTGGACGAGCGTACTTGTGTGAATATCTTGATTAAGTATCTAATGATCTTACAGTAATTGATATTTTTTTTCTCAAGTTTGTTATTTATAATTAATATGTCAATTGGTCAATTCTATCTTCTCATTCGTAAACCTATTTAACTTCGACCAGAAGATGCACTTTTTTTTTCTTTGTTAATAATGTATGAATTTATTTAATAGAAATAGAATTTTATTTAATTTTTAATTAGACTATTCCGAGCATAGAAATGACTATAGGTTACCCTTTTATCAAGAACATGTTTATTTATTTATTTTTATTTAAATATAAATATCTGATATTATTTTAGACAGATGAAGATAAATTTTTTTATGTAGCTTGTAGTGACGAATTAATTTATTCGTTAAAATGATTATTAATAAGATTTGAAAATTGGTAGAGTACTTTCTTTTCCTTGTATGATTTTTCTTTTTCTTTGTCGTTAGTATTGAACATATTTATTCGAGATAATTAGCTCATAAAAATATAAATATATATTGCTCGTATAATTAAAAAAAAAATCGATTATTTTTAGTAAGAAATACTCGAAAAGTTTATATGTACAATATTAATTATTCTTATGTTTTAATTTTTTTTATATTTTTTGTGTACGAGTATTTGTTGAAGATTCATTAGTAATGATTAATGGTGAGTGTGGTGCTAAATCATAAACAGGTAATGAAAAATATGAATTTACACCTCGTTTGAGTAAACTTGCAAAAGCTGCATACCAAGCAATTGATGCTGTTAAAATTCCAAAAGCACCTGCTGCACGTTGTAAATTAAGATGACCTAATTGAAATTTACTTGCTGTAAGTAAAATAAAAGTAAGTGTTAGAAAAAAGAATAATGCTACTAAAGCTAAATTAGTACGAAAAGATGAAATAAACATAGCAGCTGTGAATATTGTCCATCCAAGAAAAAAAACACCAAGAGCTTTTTCTTGTACATCTAATGAATAATTTCCAAGAAAATTAAATGATCCAATATAAAGTGAAGCAAGTCCAAGCCAAAAACCACCATAAGAACAAAATGCAAGTGCACCAAAATTATTTCCAACACGAAATTCAAGTAAACCAGCAAGAAGTTGAATTAAACCACCATAAAAAAGAGCAAGACCCATAACAACACCATGTGAAGCTGTAACAGGTACAGCTACACCTGCATTATACATTGAAAGAACAAATGTTGTTAATGCAAAAGCACATAAACCAAGTGGTGTTGGATTAAAATTTTGAGATAAAGATGGTGGATACATCTTCATTAAACGTTCGAATTCAAGAAATCGTTCATAAGATGAACGTATTTGAATATCAATATTATCGTATTGTTGTTGATGGTGCGACATATTTCGTTTTTTTTTTGTATGATCAATGCAATGTTTGAGAACGAAATGAAGAAATATAAATAGTAATAAATACTTTCTATTCAAACAATTCAAGATAAAAACTTAAGAATTACGCACTTAAATATAGGGGTAATCATAAGATCACTAAATAGTCATATAAAACAATTATCAATGATTAACAACGAAATTTATATGAATAGAAAGAAGCAGAAATCAAGAGAAGATGAATAAAATACAAGGTTAATAAATGTGGATGAAGATATAGAACTCAATACTGAACAAAACAGTGCATTTAACATACGAATATATTGAAAAATTTACTGCAAAAGTTTCGAAATACTAATATATTGAATTCGTATCCACCTACCATTGATGTAACGATTCTGTCATATCAAACTTACGTATTCAAAGAAGAAAAACAAAGAACATAAATGATGTTTATTAATTCAATTAACGATTGCTGTAAAGTTTTCGGCGGTTTCGAGAGGATGTTAGTATGTGTAAGTATTACTTTCATATCTAAGCACATCCACACCCTAAATACTATGATGGACAAAATGAAATCAATCATATCAACTAGGAATAGTCAAGATGATGATTATGTTTTTTTTTTCTTATTAATAATAAATAACTGTGTCTTTATATTAAATGTAGATTTGAGATGTCTTTATGAACTAGTTAATCGAATTTCAAAAATTAAAAACAAACTATTAGAATTGATCGAAAATCATATTTATAAATTTGGTATAAATATTAATGAATGTGTTAATAAAACTACAATGGATATATGTTTAACTATTTTTATCCTAATTTTTATTTTTTTCTTTTCTTTTCTATATTAGAATCTACAATTATATATTGAAATAATAATTGATATTCACGAGAGATTCTTAAATTTTTTTTTGTACTGAAACAGGCTTCAATATTGCCTTAGATAAAATAAATATTTATACTTGAGTTTTCATCTATTGTCGAAATGATATTGGCTTGTGATAAATTTATAAATAAGAATTCAGTAATATAAAAAGTTAATTCAACAAAAAAAGTCATTTGAATTATTTGCTCGATATTGTGATACAGTTTTGAAGAAAAGAGGTTTGTTTCATTGGACTCAAATCATTTAAAAATGATAAATTGATTATTCTACAAATAAAACTATTGAAGAAAATAGTCTTGAAGAAAAATGAAAATGAAATACTACTAATACTATTTAGATAATTCTTTTATTTTTATTAATCTAATTAGTTTTTTTTAGATCGTTTTTACTTATATTAAAGATAAAGATGTTTGTAAAATGTTAATAAAATGTTTAGTTGATCAATAAAGTATTTTTAATGATTATGAAAATTAATAATATCAAAATAAAAAGTAAATAACTTATCTATCTCGATTTGTAACCATTAGGGAAATGAATGCTTTCAAAATATTGATTGAAAAATATTGAATATATTGTTAAAATAATGATTTCAATGACATTGATAAAATATATTGCTTAAATACTTCGAAAGAAAAATTTTGTCTAATTTTTTTTCGTCAATTTTTCTGTAATGACATTGAGTTTGAGTTCATGATCATTGTCGTCTTTATCAAATATTATTTTTATCAATTGAAATATTAAAATTATTTATTTCTTTTTCATAAATAAATTTTTCTATTAGTTAAAAAACAATATTTGATAGTTTTAAAGATTTTTATATTCATTATTATAGTGATCGAAAATATAATAATTTGGCTTCATTAATACTCAAAAGATGATTTACGAAACATTTTACTAAAGAAATATATGCATTACATATAAGAATTAATTATCTGTCAAATTTTAACACTTGAAAAAGTATCAATTTATTAAAATGATTATATTATTATTATATAATGAAAAATAAAATTTTATATTTAAACAAAATATAAGATAAAATATAAATTCAATCTTAATTATTATTTCAAGTTTGTTTGTAGTTTAAAACACTTATTGTTAACGCACGAAGTCATGGAAAGTTTAAGTTTACATTTTAAATCTAAAGTTTCTTTTAATTAAGGTAAAATAATTTTATTTAATATGAAAAAAAAAGCATAATTTAATGATATAAACTTATTTTATAGAAATATATTGATTTATTAATTGATAACAAATATCTTAAACGAGATTCTAATTATAAAAATATTTTACTTTTAGTGAACAATAAAAGTTTCACTCACATTGAAATGATTTTTTTAAATATTATTTTGATGTATGAGAATAGAATGCAACACATATATATGTATACAGAAGAGTTCGAAACATTTACGCAAGCATATAGTAGTTTTCTGGCTGTTTGCTTCTTCTTTGAGTAAAGCAAAAAATATGTGAATACATCTATTTTTGGATGATTTGTTAAGAAATGAGATGAATCATATGAAGTAAGTTCGAGTTTACAACTTTTGACCATTCAGAGGAAAGACTTTCAGCTATGTTCTGTCAATGGGCAATATCGAAAAGGGTGAGCGCGAAATTTTGAATTATAATTCATTCGCTAGAAATCTGTCAGTTCGAAATTCCGGTATCATTTCATACGATCCATCTCATTACTTAAAAAGCCATTCAAAAATGGATGTATTCACATATTTTTTGCTTTGCTCAAAGAAAAAGCAAATAGTCAGAAAACCACTATGTGCTGCGTAAATGTCTCGAACGTCTTTGTATATATATATGTTGCATTCTATTCTTATACGTCAAAAGAATATTTAAAAAAATCATTTCAACGCGAGCGAAACTTTTGTCGCGTACTATTTATTTAAATTAAAATAGATTCATTATCATTAATCAAGAAATTAATTTTTTGTTTACTAGAAGAGGTGTTTAGTTTACAGAATTTTTTTTAATGATTTGTTATTGTTTTTTAAACAAGAACTTATATTAAAAAAAAAACTATAATATAAAAATTTTGTTCATTTGAATAAGAAGATATCTCAAAATCTACTATTTAATTCATCATATAGAAAATTTAATCAAAGAAACGAAGAAAATAAACACGAAAAAGAAGCATTACAACAAGTGACTATTCTCAAATAACATCTTGTTAAATGTTGAAGGTGATTATGTAGTCGAGATGATAACGTTAATTTAGTTTCAGCGATAACATGTTAGACTGTTTTGATAGATGCATCCAATCACAAATTCGATTTTTGCACTATGTCAATAAACAAAATGTAATGCTCAAATGAAATAGACACAAATTTCGATTCCCGAAAGATTACAAACAATAATAGACTATTTTTGTTTTTGAAAAGATCATTGATATAGTTTCGATCTTGCTGTGAATTAATTGAATCATTTGATTCTTTGATTTCAAGTTTTTCTTCCAGCGAAATAACGAACATTTGTATATCTCGAGCCTTGTATTCGTACACGCAAGTCATTTGTTCAGCAAATTGATTCGATGTTTATTCTCTTTATCTTGTTCGTGCATTTTCTCTTTGAACCATTCCGAGAACTTTGATCTATTGACTAATACGATTGTCAAGAATCAAATATATATATATTATCGAAGACGATACTGACTGTAATCCAATCAAGAACAAAGATCGTTCATTTCATCTTCTTCGAACATTGATTATATATAAGTTGCTAAAGAGTTCGAATTTTCTCGTCAATGTTCGTTATAGTTAAATTCGATTTGTTTGCACGATCATGAAGATTTTCTGCTCGATTGTGTACTAATATCAATTGTTCGGAATGAACAATAGAAGAGGATGAAGTTGTGACCTGTGAATGTACATAGTTTCTCTTTACCTAAATTCAGACCAACATAATACCTAACATCACTTCCACACCTACACGATATGCCTTGAAAAAAAATTAAAGAAATAGCTAAGACCTCTTCAAAACGATTGAGAAATATTATTTTGAATAATATACTTCATGATATAAAAAACAAAACTTCGTTTTCATCTTTCGAAAATTCTAATTTTGTTTTCTTTTTCTTCAAAAAACTATTGCATTCTCAAATGATTAATCAGCCGTGGATTCTTTTGACTCGTTATTTTGGGACGCCATGGTTTAAGAAGGTTAGAGGGAAATTACTAGCTCAAGACCAACTATTAACCATACACCCCTCCCCCTTCTCTTGTGGATAGACAATCATTTACTAAATCACATTTTTATAGTCATTGACATAGACCATTTTATAGAAAACTCTTTTCTACATCTCTTGACACCTTCTCCAACTCAAAGGAATGGATAGAAATGGAGAAAAGCTTAAAATACTAATAAAATGTGAAAAAGGTCATGTTTTTTACTTTTTTTTGATCCACCCCAAAAATTCGAGGATTGTGGTCTTCGGCGTTCTTCACAGGTACGTCAGAAAAATGTAATATTTTGAATTTATAAGTTTCACGATATGACCTATCGTTTGAGCAAAAGAAATCCAAAAAAAAAATTTTACCTCCGGACGGCTTGGTCGACCGTCTTACGGATCCTGTCTTAAGCAATTTATCGTCATGAAACTGTAGATTTAAAGACAATAAGAAAACAATTTGCTTCATGGGATTTTTCAGAGAAGACAATTATAAGGTTATGATCAGAGAACAGAACACGTGTACATCTGTAGATAGAAAATTTCTTTATGTCATTGTATATATATGTCCCTGAATATAGGGCATTGTCGTCAACAAATCGGCTGTATTCTGTTCTCTGATTAGAAACTGCTGTGTAATTCATAATCATCCTTGGCTCAAGAAAACATTGACGTAGCAAACCTTTTATATCTGTAACGAATACAATATTATATCTTCTATGCTTCAAGGTGTGAGTGACTCATCTATATTACTCAACAAAAATATATAATTATCTTTGTAATAATCACACAAGAGATAATAAAACATTTTAAAGATGAAAAATGCGTTTGTAAAGTAACAAACTCGCCTCTTGGTAGAAGATTGATAATTTTATCTTTAATAAACATCGACTTTGAAGCAGGTGAGAAGTTTTGAAAAGCAGTAAATCAGTTAAATTTTCAATTGCTCATATCTGTCCAATTCTTCAAATAGTTTGTATGGAGAATTGCCCAATATTCAGTTTTAGCTTGAGACGAAGTTTTATAAATGAAAAATTACCGGCAAGAGATGTTAAGACACTTATAATTTTTGTGTAGAGTTACATTAAAATCATTAGTATAAGAGTTTGTTTGATATATTTCGTCAACACGAAAATTTCACATGATATTAGAAAAATAATGTTTATGCTGAATATAGACTTTTTACATTTTCTAATAGTTTTTCAACTCATAGAGTAGAGTAGAGTGATATTCAAAAAGAATCAAATGAAAATATTCCTTCTCACAAGAGAAAATACGCTTTCACTAAAGAATGTAGAGTGACATTTTTCGAAGTAAAATCACTATCTTTGTGTTAAATTAGCTTCGTATTTTCAATCTGCATCACAGCAAAAAAAAGTGTTAAAAAACTATTACTTTCAAACATAGTCGACATCGTTCTATGAAGTACAATATTTTGTTTTCTCTTATTGTTACATTTATCTTTATCGATAGTTTTTTCTCGCAGGATATAACAGCTGCGCTCTTTACTTATATACGTCCATAAATGAATGAGAAAAAAGCATAAAGGAAAGAAAAGAGAGAGTAGTTGCCTATAACAATTGTCGCAAAAAAGACATGGAGAGAGAAAAAAAGAAACAAGAAAAATTTCTTTTCGTTCTTGACCTTTTTTTATGGAATATTTTTTGCGGGCAAATATTCTTTCTCTTACATTCTTTTTCTTTATTCATTTTTCGCAATCACATGCGGACGTACATTTAGTCGTGCAAGATTTCTGTACTCTTCATTAATCTTCAAATCACAAAAAACAAGTACAAAGTCGATCGTATGTTTCTCATGAATAATCTGTTTTTAATTTTTGTATTGAATGTAAAGAGTAAAATAACATTCTATTTTTTTTTTCTTAATTATGCAAATTGAGTAACGCCGATGCCAAGACGAGGGCCTGTTGGCACTTAGACCTTCAACATAAAAAGAACGAAAAAAAAAAAAGAAAGGAAGAAGGAAAGAGTACGACTTTATAGAAGAATATAATGAAGAAGAGAAGTTGAGGGACAGGATAGAAAAAAGAAAACAGAACAAAGAGAAAGAAAAACGAGAAAAGATTAACATCGTACAGAGTTACGGAAGAAAGATTGGATAGTTGACAATGTTCAATATGGTATACGTGAAAGGGAAAACAGAGAAAAAAAAGATTACAGAAGAAACAAAGAGACTTCAATAACAGATCAGAAAACTTCAGAAGGTCTCGGGAAATTCCTTCAATAGCTCAATATCGTCCTGCGAGAACTGAACAGCTGTGTCCGTAAGAGGGTTTTCGTCCTGCCAGGACAGACATTTTTCCAAAACTGTTTCATGGTTAATGAATCGTCTAGTTCTACGAAGACCTTGAACCCTTAGCTGCCCACTTAGACATTCGTTTCTACGTATGTTAAGAATTAGTTGCTCTGCCAGCAATTCACCATCTTTCGATTCAGCAAGTGCTTTGAAATATTTGTTCCAGTATCGCGTGCATCTATTAACTAGAGTGGGTTCGTTGAATAAGAACTCGAAGAACTCATCTGGCCAGCTCTGGTAATGCAAAATCTGTTTTAAGCAGGAGGCATAGAAATGCTCTAAATGACTACGTTGACATTCGGTAAGGAGAAAATAACATTCTATTTCAAATAATGGTTCTTGTCATGCAAAGTGAACACGTGATTGTTTTATTCATTTCTTTCTCAATTTTCAATCGTTGAAAGTATTTTTATTTCTTGTGAAACGATAGCTTATTCAATTCTTGTAAAAGTATATTAAATATTTAGATATATAAAGTAATCGTTATAAATTCTCGGCTAATCATTTGTATTGAGTTTATATCTTTCCTCTATTTCACTTCTCATAAAATCGGAGCATTTAGCTGAATAACATCTAAAGAATAAGTTTCAATGATCCTTTTAGTTAATATACACTTTCGTATATCTTTCAGTCGTTTTTTATATGTCCACAGCCGTCTATATTCTCTGTTGATGTACTCTTAAACAGATTTCTGGGATGATTCAACTTCTTGATAAACCATTATTTCTATTCATAAACGTTAGTATATCCTCATGTATTATTATGTGATTTTTTTTTAATAGTGTTGGATAACTTCAACTGGTACATTGATTCATCTGTCATGCACACCATATTGGAATATTCAATAATTTATCAAAGTGTTTGTTTTGCATGCATTTTGTTTGGTACATACATTCTATGGAAAACTTGGAGCAAGAGAAAAATACAGAAAAATGCCAAGGAAGAAATAGCAGAAATTGGAGATGAAAATGTAATTAAACAAGGATTTCGAATGAATGCTGTACCAGAGAATGTTGACATTATAGTAATAGGTTCTGGTATGGCTGGACTTACTGTAGCTTCCATAATGGCACAAGAAGGCAAAAAAGTCTTATTACTTGAACAGCATGATGTTATTGGAGGTAATACTCATACTTTTAAAGAAAAAGGTTTTGACTTTGAAACTGGATTGCATTACATTGGTGGTAGAATTGGTAAGAAGACATCGAATTTAAGAAAACATTTTGATTGTATAACGAAAAATGGAGTTGAATGGGAAAAAATGGATGATATATATGATCTTGTAGTTATACGTGATGGGGAGAATCGTGAACAATATCCAATGTATTCTGATGTTAAGATTCTTAAGAAGACACTGATTTCTTCATTTGTTGAGGAAGAAAAAGCGATTCACGAATATTTCAATATGATTAAGAAGGTTCGTATTGGTATAACAGTCTTATTTTTACTAAAATGTATACCGTATCAAAGGATTCAGAAGATAATTCATAAACTTGTTCAACCTTTTCTTTCAATATTTGATGAAACAACAGAACAAGTTCTATCTAAATTAACTAAAAACAAAAAACTTATTGGAATTTTGACATACTTATATGGCGATTATGTTGAAGTTCCATCAAGATCATCGTTTGGAATGCAAGCATTATTATCTGACCACTATATGGGTGGTGGATACTTTCCAATTGGAGGTCCATCGATGTTCGCACGTACCATTGTTCCAATCATCGAAAAATCCAAAGGAAAAGCGTTCGTTCGTGCTCCAGTTTCATCAATTCTTATAAATGAAGAGAATAAAGCTATTGGAGTTGTAGTAAAAGGTCATCGGATCTTTTCAAGTATTGTTGTTAGTGCTATCAGTGCAACAAAAACCTACAAGTACCTTATACCTCAAACTCATCAATGTTTGGTTCAATCTCACTTGAAGATTATAGAAAGTCCTGAACTTGCCTCGGAAACTGGTTATATGTCAATGTTCGTTGGTCTTCAAGGTGATTCCGATGAACTTGATTTACCGAAGAGAAATTTATGGATATTTCCATCATGGAATCATGATGAAAATATGACGAAATTTCGTGATGATTACAGTGCAGATTTTCCAGGTATGTTCATATCTTTTGCATCTGCAAAGGATCCAACATATCACACAAGATATCCTAAGAAGAGTGTCGCATCAATTATTACTCTTGGCATTTATGAGCATGTTGAAGATTTCAAAGATGAAAATGCAAAACATCGTGGTGATGCTTATAATCAACTGAAAGATCAATGGAAAGACAGAATGTTAGAAATATTTTTAAAAGAATTTCCGAATTTAAAAGACAAAATAGTTTATATTGATAATGGAACAGCAATTACAAATGATTTTTATCTTGGAACTTATCATGGAGCTACTTGTGGACTGGCGCATACACCAGAGCGATTTCGACAAGTGGAAATTCTTTCACCAACATCGCCAATCAAGAATCTTTATCTCTCAGGACAGGATATACTCACCTGTGGAGTATCGGCCGGTCTTATGAGTGGATTTATGACATCATATGTTATTTCTCCTAGCTTGATATTTAAGTACCCAAAGCGCATCTGATCGTATTTCATTCATGCAACAAAACTACATTATGTTTCTATGGATTTGTTTTCAGAAATTAGATTCAAATGTAGCAAAAACTTGAGCGAAATTATAATGAACTTCATAATAACTTATTATTTCATTGAAATTTATACTCTAATATATATTAAAAAAGCAAAATAAATTAATCATTAATCCTATGAATGAAATCCTTGTGAACATTGTCGTTCGATAAATATATCGAACATTGAATGAATAAATATTTCATAAATTGGGATTGGTTTAATGTCATTTTCGAATAGTTCAAATAGGTTCGTGCGATATTCATTGATTCGAAGAAATTTTCGTTGAATTAGGTAACTAAATTAGCATAATTGTTGTTATTGAGATTGATTGAGTTAGAAAATAAAACACATAGTTCGAAATAAGGTAAAATTTTCTTTAACAGACTATTTTCTTAGAATTGAGAACGTATTAAGTCGCATTCTATTAAGATTAAACGTGAAGTGTGAGATACATCATTTGATGAAGATTTATATATCATGGATTCACTTTCTTCAATGATTACATTAAGCAATATCTAGTCGTCTAATCATTGATTGTAATTATCAACAATAATTCAAAGGTATTAAACACGGTATTGATCCAGTTTGCTCACTTCATTCAATAAATACATTTTCAATGGGTATAAAAATGATTGTTCGATCATGTAAAAATGGAAGTTTAAAAATGCAGTTTGTCTGTAAACAATCTTCTTTATCATTAATCACCAAAATTGAATGTTGAAACTTGAAACTTGGAAAGTACTTATTCAATTGAATTGAAGTTTTACAGTAGCGATTAGAAGTAGAATGACCTTCTGTGTAAGAATGCGTGTGAGCGCAGAAGCACTTTGACCATGTAAGTAACCTTTTATATAAGCCGTAGCTTCTCAAAAGAGATACTTTTTAATTAAACTTCATAGCTATTTAAAGCTTCATATAGTTATTTAAAATGTGGCGCCTCTACAACACTATCATAGTTAATGTGGTGCGAAGCACAGCATTTCTGTATTCCTTCGGGAGTTTTCTTTCATTCTTTCTATCTCGACGTCCACATCGAAAATTGTCATTTTGTGTCGCGATGATCTCGAGAATGGAAAATCGGAAAAAGTCGTTCAAACGCAAAATGAAAATATCGAGATCGAATTGTTATCTTTTGTTTTTCAATATTCATTAGATCATGCCGTTTAGTTATAGATAGCTTCCAAAAATGGCAAATTTTTATGGACTTTGTTTTTTTTTCAAGGTTCGAAATAATTAAAATCAATAAAACTTGTCATTTAGTGACTCGATGATCTCAACAACTAAAACTCAGAAAATAGTCGTTGAAACGCAAGATCCCATTATCAAAATCGAACCGATAATATCTTTTGAGTTCATCTTCAAAGCACCTTCCGATTTCTCACAAATCGCTTCCAAAAATGACAAATTTTTGAGAACTTTGCGTTTTCTTTATTTTGAGATAATTAAAATGAAAATAAAAAGAAGAGTTAGGGTGTGGGTGTGGGTAAACAATAAACAATCACACCCACATCCTCCTTCCTGTATCCATCAAAATTTGACAGTGAAAGAAAATGAACGCCATCGACCGCATATGAATTCTATTTCAGAATGAAAAACTTGAAAACTATTAAAATATATTCTTGGCAAATATGATGGATGATCATAATGAGCTGTTGATGAGATTATTAACATTCGTTGGATGCTGAATCACATATATACTTTTACGATTCTGACATAAGTGTTGTTTCTTGCCAACAATATTTGTTCATTTAATTGTTGAAAGTCGAATATATTTGCTTGAAGACTTAATGCTGAATTGTCTAAAGAATAACGAAATCAAGAATATTTGAGGGGCGTGGATATGCATATCGACACCCACAGAATAAGACAGGTTCGTTAGCCACTAACATGACTTGTTACATCTTAGATATCCGTTAGTTTATTCTTCCAGAGCAAGAGAAAAACACAACATGAGCGAAGAAAAAATAGGAACTCAAATAGAAAAGAGAGGCGAGCGCTGGAAAAGACAATCGTCATAACTGACCTAGAGATGTCAGGCCATAACATTATGATTGGAAATAAAGGCGAGGGAATTGGGTGTGGGTGTCGATGTCGTGTGGATTTTGTGTTTATATAACCGCTAAAAGGTGAAAATCAACCCCAACACCCACCCGAAGACACTGTGCTGGCTGTTACGAGAAAAACAGGATAGAACAATCAAGAGAAGAGTGTCATGCAACAACAAAGAAAATATAAACTTTCTGTTCTGATTGTAACAAATTTTTTTGTGTTGATTGTTTTAACGAGAAGCATTACGCTATCAATAAATGATTTTAAAAATAGCGAAGGCACACATTACGTCTAATCTTTCACCTAAGAATAAAAGAAAAGAAAGTTTTTTTCTCTTAAATTTCTTGTTAAAATATAGTGGGGCCCACCGGTGGGCCCCATCGACTCGAAAGGATTAAATAATAATTTTCCAATGAATTTATAAAATTAAAAACAACAGAAAAGAAACATATAGTCATTTTTTTCGACGATTTAAACTCTTTATTTTTCTGAAAAAATGAATATGAATTGCAAAGAATGTGTCGCATATTTTTAGTGATTTGATTATTTCTTTCGTTGAAAAAGACATGCTTATCATGTTTAGAAACTTTTCATATACAATAATAAATCTAACAACAAAAGAAAAACATGAAAACTTCATATAAAAGTGAAAGAAGTTCTATCATAACCAGTTGTCTATTCAAATAGTTATCTCCAGAAATTCAGCCGGTATGAAATTCATTTTTTGGAATATTTATTTACTATTTTCATGATCTTTATTATTACTAATGATAAAAATATTCTATTGTTCAATTCTTCAGTTTAATGGCTTCTCCATATTCCATATCACCTTCACATATCTTTTATTTTGGAAGAAGAAACAATCAAATTCTTGAATTATGTATGAAAAAAAGTGTTAGTGATGATATTCTCGCTGATAACCGCACCAGTATTCAACGAAAGAAGTAATATCGTTAGTTTGCTGATCATTGCTCGATTGAAAATGAAGATCAACAAATGTACAAAATAATCACTCACTGATCAATCAATGGAAATGCTAAACTCATTGAAAATGACTAGAGTGAATTACATTAAGATGCATCCATATTGCTAATTGATAATAAAGAATCGAGAAAATGACCAGCAACTTATATGTACTTAGAGTCGATCATGTTTGATTAAGAAATGAAAGTTTTCTATATAAAGTGGAGACACAAAATTGAGAAAAGATTTGAGTACTTGAAATAATTTTGTATAAGAAGGAGTACTTGTCAAACTCCTATTAACAGATCTGGGAGAAAGGTCTCTGAACAATTAAGACTCTAAAAAACCAGTTTTTTGGCTCTACCGAAAACATTTTTCAAACTAGTTCATCTAATAGAGAAAATATTTCCAAACAAAATAAGATGTACTTGAGCTTTTCACGATCTGGGGCGTGGGTGTGGGTGTGAAGAACAGATGAAACCCACACCCACACCGTAGATGTCCGGTGTTTTTAGGTTTGATGTAGAAGACAGAAAACTGCATTTAACCACATGATTCAATGTAAATATGATCAAATGTATAAAAATAACTGTTCACACTATGCATAACAATCGTTGTATCCATCAACATGCATGAAACTCTGGAAAGCAGTTTCTATCTATTTTTCCAAAAACAAAATTAAAAGAAATAAGGAAACTGAGAGGAAAAGTGCACGTCTTCAGACTAACTAGATGAAAAAAAATGTCTCAAGGATAGCAGGTTCAAGAATTTATCGAATAACCTTTAATCAGGATTGTCGTTCATCCTTATCTTCTGCTGTAATTTCACGAAATATTTTTAAACGTTTTATTTATATATTTGATTAGTAAAATGTTGAGTGAAAGCAAAGTTTATTCAATCAAAACTTTCATCATTCCATTTTGGTTCAAAATCTGCTGGTAAACTTTCAATATTCAGTGGATACAATTTGCTGTCATATTCTTTTTTGTCAATCATTTTACCATCAGAATGTTTAATAATAGCATGACGAACAACCATCCAAGCGCGTCTTTGATCAAGTGGTGGAATCGACTCTTGACATCCATCACCTTCTGTTGATAGCCTGGTTAAATCATTATACCAGGTTGGATGATGTTTATTGTAGTATTTAGCTCTTGGAGATATACGTTCCCAATCATCATCATCCTCTGAACCATCTGATTGATGATTTTTCTTTATAAAAATGTCACTTGTTGTCCAACACTGATAGCATAAGTCAAGCCAAGGAGTATTTAGTTTATAGACCCTCAATCCACGAAATGCGCATGCTAAATGATGCGAAGCTTCATGGGTTTCAACAGATATTGGTTTAGGGTGTTCACATGTGCAGTTGTCTTTCGGACAACTTTTGCATGGATCTTGCCAGACTTCAACCTCTTCTTTATCATGAGGTTCTGGTTTACTACATTTAGCACCGCATCCTGGACATCGTGCTTGACAATTAAGTTTCTGCATAATGCTTCGTTTGCAACTTCTAAATGCTTTAGCTTTCATATTTTTTGTTAAGTCTGTAACCTTTTTACCAATATCTTGGTAATAATCACGAATATTTAAAAAACCTCTTTTAAATCGTTCTTTATCTTTAATAGGCATTCGAACAATATTATTCAATGAAAATATTTGCAATATTTCTATATATGCTGTTTCTCCAAGTTTTAAATCAGGGAGCTCAAGAATTTCCTTACGTATATCATCTCTTAGTCTAGCAGTATCGTTATGGTTGCACTGTTGGACAAATTGATCCACTTTATCAATTGTTAATGTAATTAAATTTTGCAAATTGCATGTATGTTTATGTGTTACAGCGTTTAATGTTGTTTTAATTTCTCTTAAACTGAATTCAATAAAATAACGATTAATATCATAAACATATTTAAGAATATTTTCACCATTTGCTTCAATTATACTTTCTTGATAGGCTTGTTGTTGTATAGCTTTATGATTAATAAATTGACTTTTAACTATATCTTCTGTCATTTCTTTTTCAATTCTACGGTTTAAAAGAAGGCCAATGTCATTAATGATCTGTTTTCCAATTGTTTCAGCTAATGTTTGTCCTAATTCAAATGCATTTTTCATAGCAACACATTGCTTTAATAAATTTTCTTTACATTCCTTGATTTCATTTGTTGAGTTTTCTAAATTTAATTTATAATTTGACTTTTCCTTATTTATTGCTTCAGTAATTATAATATTAAGACCAATAATAGCTACATCTGAACAGAGTATGTGTTTCTCTAAAAATTTATTATTACTTGTGATACATTGCGAATTCATTGCATTTTTAATAAGTTGAAAAAGATGGTGAATAGTTTTTGGATTTGATGAAAAAGATGTCGTATTGTTAATTAATTTTAAAAGTTCTTCTTCAAATGTTCGTAAAACTACATTCCATATTTCTGTAAATATTTTCTTATTTTTCTGTTCTTTGTTATTATTTGTAAACCATTTTAAACGGTATTTTAATATTGTCCACAGAGAATCTATATATTCATCTGAAGGCTTCTTAAACAATGATGTGATAGTTCTCCGTAAACTACCAAGTGTTGTTGTTGCCTGATGCATTAGGTATCTTCTAGTTATTGAAAAACAATTTTCAAATTTTTCAAAATGACTTTTATATTGTGTTTGATCATTTATACGAAATAATAAATGATAAAAATTTTCCTCTTTTGCTTCTGCTTCTTTACACAGCAATTGAGAATTATAAAACTGTAAAATCTTTTCTATAATTGTAGCTTCTGTTTCAAATGATGACTCAAGATCCTTTTGATATTGTTCAGTAATACGTTGAAAATCCTTTTCAAGCTGGTTTTTAAAATAATCTAATTGAAGACTTTTATTTTGATCAAATTCATTTTGCACTGACTTTAACAGTTGTTTTTGAGCATCATCTACACGGATTTTTCTTAATAGATCGGTTAAACGTTCTTCAAACATTTCTTTCAGTAAATGTTCTGCAGAAAGAATTGGCGGTTCCATAGATTTACGAACTTTTTTCTTCATCTCTGGTAGATAACAACTTCTTTCTGTTTTTCCATTAAAAGATTTTTGCGCCTGATCTATGGCAAGCGTAATAATTGTATTTAATTGATGATTAAAATCTTCAATAATACGATCACGGTTTTTATCAATGAAATCTTTTCTTGAAGAGCTCAATAATTTTTCATCAATTAATTTTTCACCATCTTGATAGACAGTGGCATTTGTTGTCTTAATTATATTATTGGCTATCATTTCAAGTTCTTTCATTATGGATAGTTCATGTAATGTTTTGCATTCTAATAATCTAGGACCTAAAAGATCTATTGCTTCCCAATTACTTGAAATTTTTTCATATAAATGTCTCATATCTGTATAAGCTGAGTCGTTTATAGGTGATACAGGATAGACAAGTTCAGCTGTGCTGGTGGTAATAGGAGAAATGCTCTTGAGGGTGGGTGTGGGTGTGGG